ACGACACCCACAGAGTTTCCAGCTTGTGATATGCGCTAGCTGATGGGTCAGGGTCGAGAGAATAGGGCAGCCAGATAGCGACACCACAAAGCCCCGGTTCCTGAGACAGTTGAGGAGCAGGACGAGGTTATCAGGGGCCTTACTGAGGCAGAGCTTGCCGACCTTGAGGCTCAACAGGACAACCCCGTACCAAAGGACCTCCTATCTGACAGTTCAGACGAAGACTACGAGTCGATTCCACGTATGCCTTCATAGGCAAACGACTCAGAGTCCGGAGGCTCTAGCTCAGCTCCACCACAGCCGCCGCAGACCAACCCAGCACTAATTGCTATACTTGAGCGGATGAGGTAGGATCAGGCATGCCAGGCACAGGAGACCGTAGCTACTATTGCTCAGGCATAGGCACGTCAGGATCAGTTCCAGCAGCAGCAGCGGCTAGTTATTCAGCAGCAGTTGCTTGGGTTCATGCAGCATGTGTTCACTGCTATAGGGATTGCTCCACCTCAGCCCACACTGCAGATTGGTCAGCCTGCCACCACCACTCCAGTGACTCTAGCTGTACAGCCCAGTGGACTACAGAGTCAGGGACAGTTGCTGGCTCAGTTTGCCTCACCTTCTGCCTAGGTCTCACAGTGGTTTGCTACTCTAGGCATAGGGCCAGCACAGCAGTTCACACTGATCATCACTAGGTTCACTCCTACACCCTCTATCACTAGCTATGACTTCACGGGATTTGTCTACTACCTTCAGTGAGCTCACAGGTCACCCCACACCTCTAGAGTTTTAGGGGACTATGACTACTATGATAGATCCAGTGACTAGGACTATAGGCACACTACCTTCCTCAGTCGCCAGCTCAGAGCTGCCTCAGTTTGAGAGTTAGTCCGCTACAGCTCCTTCACTTCCAGAGGTAGTTCAGACAGAGGCTATGATAGTATCAGAGGCTCAGTCGGCAGGCACCGCTACCACATCCACTAAGCAGACCCAAACTGCTTCTCATCCACTTCCAATGTCAGAGGGTCAGACAACCTAGAGCTCAGATTCAGATGTGGACCTCTCCTAGTTTGAGCTTTCCCCACATGTTCCACTGACCGGCTCATCTGCTCCAGCCCCACCGTCGGATCCTTAGGTTTTGGTGCTTGACGCCAAAGGGGGAGGAACGAGTATGTAGCTTTAGGGGGAGCTAGTGAGATTATCTTTGTTTAGTTCTTTTCTGTGTGACATACATTAGCATCATGTTTACTCTTATGCATTGTATTATACGTGTGATGAGACTTTCTGTGACATGTGTGCTCTCTACTCTTCATATTTATATATGTCGTGTCACTTGTTTATGCTCTTGCTTATGCTTCCGCATTTCACTCTGATTATTTATGAGCAAAGTGATTAGTACTCACACTTATTTAATATCCTTTGAGTACTTATATGTAGCTTGGTTCGTATAAGCATGCCTAACCCGTTTATTCTTATTGTCTCATGCTTACATGAACCAAGTGTGTTGAATACCTCACCCATCTATTTGTAAACATACTCGAGGTTGTTGTCATCAATCACCAAAAAGGGGAAGATTGAAAGCATCTAGGCCCCCAGTGGGTTTCAGTGATTAATGACAACGCAAGATTATTGTGACTAACGTGTGTTTTGTAGAGGCAAATTGAGTTAGGTCACGATAATTGTGATTGATTGGGCAATCAACGATTTTCATGCCCCTATCGATGGAATTCGTTTTGGTTTTCAACGGATGGATGACAAGGTTAATGACGGTCTAGTTCTAAGTGTCATTTGGTGTTGAGAGGCACTTAGAGTAGATTAGGACTTTGTTTTTCCTTTAACCATACTATAAAGGGGGTATGGACTAGTAGCCTGACCTAGGTGAGTCTAATGGTTTAGGTGTGGTGCACACTTATCAAACTTAGCACTAGATAGCTCAGGGATGCTCTAAAGATCAAGTGGAACAACTTTCATTCACAAGGAAATTCAGTTTGGAAGTGAATGGAGTGTTTTTCAGTTGACCGAATGCTAGTGCACTTGTGATCGGACGCGTCCGGTCAGTACAACTTGGCTAGGTTAAGGCACCGGACGCTGTCCTAAAGCTCACCGGACGCGACTGTGACTAGGGCTTGTTCTCCAGAACTGACTGGACGTGGTGCCCCATAGCACTAGACGCACCCGAGGGCAGAGTCCGGTCGCTTCTAGAGACGTTCTAGAGAGGTGTTTTCTTGACCGGACGCGTCCGGTCAGTGTTGATTGGACGCGTGTCAGAGTCCGGTTAGATAGTGGTGACGCTGGTGTCATGTAGCCATTGGCTACTGACCGGATGCGTTCGATCATCTCGACAGACACGTCCGGTCATCACTTAAACAGCATGTTTGAACCTCAACGGGTATGTTTGTGTGTGGGGGGTATTTATACTTCTCCCACTCCTCCAACATATCTCTCTTGCTAATTTGATCAGCTGAGGAACACCTTTGAAGTCCAAGGAAGAGCAAGTGCCTAGTGAGGATTTGTGATTTGATAATCTCAAGATTAAGGACCTCATTAGTATTTTGGGAGTAGCAAGTGTGCATCCACTCATCTCATTAGGCTTGGTTGGGTCAAGTAAGAGTTTGTGCTTGTTACTCTTGGTGATCGGCATCACCTAGACTGCTTGGTGGTGATTGGGAGCTTGGTGATCATCCGGTGGAGCTTGTGGATGACCCAACTCATCTTGTGAGCGGTTGTGGGCGATTCACCGTGTCGGAGTGACGAAGAATCAGCCCGTAGAGAAGACTTGATCCTCGCGCGGATCAAGGGGGAGCTACACCCTTGCGCGGGTGCTCCAACGAGGACTAGTGGGGAGTGCCGACTCTTTGATACCTCGGGAAAACATCATCGTGTTCCTTCTCTCTCTTTACTTTGAGCAATTCATTTCATATCTCTACATTCCTAGAATTGCCATGCTAGAGTAGGATTAGAACCTAAGTTGCTAAACTTTTATGCGGTAGAACGAATAGAACACACTTTTAGGCACTAGGGGTGAAGTAAGCTAAGTGTAGGACTTAATTGTTGCAAGAAATTTTAGAATAGCCCAATTCAACCCCCTCTTGGGCATCTTGATCCTTTCACCCTCGACAGAATCTTCGTCGACTAGTTCAACCCTTCGCATGCTAAGGCAATGCGACAGCTCTTCCCAGAACCAAAAGGAGAGCGGGCGAGGTGCCGTGCAAGTCAGCGTGTCTGATCACCGATGATGGCTAGATAGCATAAATAGCGAGTAATAGCCCATGATCTCCTTCTGCTATAGAGAGCATAGCCGATTGTATAACATTAAGCCCCTAGTGTGCCTTGTTCATGGCGCGTCGTTTTATCTTTCACTATTTCTCGATCTTAATACAAAGATGCACAAATCTTTTGCGTATTTGAGAAAAAAACATTCATTGAGCACATTCTGAATCATCCAAATCTTTATGCAATTGTCTAATTATGAATTCGGAGAACATTTGAAGTCTTCAATATATCTAGTATATACAACAGCTTGTTTAGGTTTTCAACAAATCTATTTATTGAAGAATTTGTTGACACCATATTTTTTAGCATGTTGTTGGCACTCTCGGATCTTTGCGTGCCTGTCATTTCAACAAAAAAATTGCCTTTGTTCAAACATTTGAGCCATTCAGCCATTCGGCCATTCCATGTTCTACTGAGTAGTGAGTACTGACTCATACCAATTACAAGTGCATGTAATGCAGGATGCAGTAGCATTTTTGTCATCTTAACTCATCAGGAAATGATGGTTCTGATATCCATTCTTACTATAACCCAAAAACTTCATTATTCAAATGTTTTTATTATTATTCCTATTTTCCAACTCTTTGTCAATAACTATGGTCTCGTTCATAACTATGGTGGGTCCATTGCCGAGTGGTGGGTCTCGTTCATAACTATGGTCTCGTTGGAGTCAAAACGACACACCCCTTGCACTCACAGGCTTTAGCTTGGACCATACCTGTCCTCTTCTGTTCGCGCCTTTCGAAATGTTGTTGGGTACATTTTTCTCTTTACCCTCGTTCTATTTGGATCTATTAGCAGCTAATAGTTAGCTAGCTAATACTAGATGTCTGGGTCACAACTAACATAAGCTGCTATTAGCTAGCTTGGTCCAATTAGTAAAATAGTTGTTAGTTAACTATTTAGTATTTAGCTAACAATTAGCTAGACCTGTTTGGATCTAATTAACTAATTATTAGCAGCTAACTATTAGCTCCTTATTAGATTTAAAAGAAGGCCTAAGCTTCAAGATCCGGCTGATCGTTGGTGCTCTAATGTTTGCATAAAGTGGACCTGGACACGAATCTTCAGGTACCAAAAGGATAGAACTTAGAACCACACGTAAAGTAGTACATTTCACTTTTCGAGAATTGAGAACGACGGTTAAAAAGGTACGGAGAGACTAGTGTGTAAGGGCACTCTCAACCCATAAACTACATGATGGTTTCTATATTCATTAATTTGGATGCCATTGCCAACTAAGAAAAAAAAAAGGTGACGTGGCACTGCAATTAAAGAAGAGAGAAGGAACTAGTTTCTTAACAAGAAACCACGTCTACGTACACGGAAACCAAGACATGAAGAGATGAGATGCGATAAGTATATAAGAGAAAGAGAATACATATGATGAGACGAAAGATTATTCTATAAAAACTATCTGTTGGGAACATAGTTTCTATGTGTAGTATCAACATTAACTAATAGTAGGCGTAGAAACTATCTGCGGTTTCTAGCATTGTGAGTGACTCTACTCTAGATAGGAAGCATTATTGGAGGAATATGAAATTAGCTACTATACTATTGTGATGGTCAGCTCAAGTGCTCAACGGTAAACATGCACCTTTCCTCTGAAATACAATGTTACCATAGTGAAATACACGCTGAAGATCGACTGATAACACCAAACAGTGACAGACGACATGAAACACTGTTATGTCCCGCGCGCGCGTGTGTGAGAAATATAATCTTCTGCATCAACCCTTGTTCATGCGTCGTCCGGCTATCTCCTTCCGGAAGTGTTTCAAGAAGTCTCTCATTTTACGTGAACCGGCTTGGCGGTACACATGAGAAACTTGTCGCTTGCAAACCGTGTTGGTGCCTCGCTTTACCTGCAGCCTGCTGCTGTTGCCGCTTTGGTGGACGCTGGCGATGCTGTCCTGGTAGAGTCCAAAGTGAAGAAGGAAGCCGGCCTCTTGGCGCCTCGCCGGGACGTCGACGAACTCCTGCAAGCACAGCACCCTCTCCATGGCGACGCGGTTGGGGTCATAAGCGAAGACCTTGTGAAAGCCCGTGGCGAGCAGGAGTTTCTCGCTTCCCCCCGCGCTGCTGCAACTGCAGAGCGGGATGACATCATCCTCCTCCACGAACTCGTCGCTTATCGCCTGGGGCAAGCTCTGCAGGTCGATCCGGTAGCGCTTCGACCAGGTGTCGCCGTCGCCGCCCCACGTGTAGAGCGAGTACCTCTCGTGGTCGAAGCGGAGGTCGACGACGGCGCACAGGGAGCCATCCAGTTCCGTGAGCGTCCCGACGCGGTCCGCCAGGAACGGCGGCATGTGCACCCACCCGAACCGCTCGGCGCCGACGGAGAAGGACATGACAGGCTGATCCGTGCCGGTGAAGCTGTTCAGCTCCAGCAGAAAGTAGAGGGAACCGCGGAGGTACACCGGCGGCAGGCCGGCTATAAAGCTGGCCGACGGCGGTGGCACTCGCCCAGAGCAGGGCCGCCACGCGCCCCCCGGGGCACAGGTGCACACCTCGCAGCCCGTCTCCCCAATCCGCCTCTTGAAGAGCCTCACCACCTTGTGCTCCCCGGTGGCCGGGTCGAAGCCGAGCCCGGTGCTCGCGATCTCGAAGGGGACCCAAGGCGGAGGCCGGAGGAATCGGCCCGCCACGCCGATGCGCATCGAATCCCGAAACTCCACGGCTGCGGCGCGCTCGCAGGGCGGGAGCGCGACGTGCTCGCCGGTCGACAGGTTGCACACGTAGTGCTGCGACGCGGGGCCGTCGGAGACGAGCGTCAGGCCGTGGCACGGCCTCGGGGACACTATCACGTGCGCCGCGCTGAGGTTGCCGAGGGTGAGGAGCTCGCGGGCGGCGCGCGGCGCCTCCCCGTTGCGGAGCGCGCAGGTGTACAGGGTGGTGCTGATGCTGGCGCTGGCGTCGGCCGCCGGCGCGAAGAAGAGGAGCTCTGGTTGGCGCGCCGCCGCGGCTGACTTGGCGGCGCCGTAGGCCCGGGCGAAGTCGTCCGAGGTGAGGGCCGTGTGCCACGCACGGCACACGGCTCGACAGCGGGCGACGTCGCTAGGTGGTAAACGCGTCACGATCTCGTCGAAGATCAGATTGTCATGAAGCCGCTGTGTCGTCTGGCCCAACATCTTCTTGCTGCACATTACCGAGGATGTTCCGTGATCGCGAGGCATCTCTCTTGGACTAGCTAATAGAGAGTTTATTAAACCCGATCCGTGTGCGTGATGCGTCTAGTTAGATATCCAGATGTATATATAGTCCTTATTATATATGCATACTCGTAGATTAGAGAACGCGTATACGGTGTACCAATCGAACTCTGAAGCGATTCGGATTAGTATTGGGCTAGGGGCCTGCATTTTCTATTTTTTATATTTTAAAATTATTTCCTATAAAAGTAAATATGAAGTTTCTAAAACGGAGTAACTAGCACCTGGACGTCCGGACCACGTCCGGACACCCATGACTGCTTGTTTCCCGCACGTAGCAAACGGATGACATGGACCGGGGCCACTACGCGAACATCACGCCGCCGTCGACCCACCGGGGCCACCACCTCTGCGGGGCGTTTACGTGCTCGTTGGGTAGGGTTTCCCGCTGAGCTCGAACTGCCGCGGCGAGTGGGGGAAGGAAAGGGAGGGGAGAGAGAGGAGAGGAGAGGGCGAGGCGTGCCGCATGAAAAAGGCACGAGGTTGGAGCCAAAAGCCCTACGGCAATACGCATGGGCCCGCTGCCCTCCTCCTTCATCCTTGCTGACCCGCCGCTCTCTCCCATCCACTTCAATATTCTAAATAGCGGGCTAAGCCTCTTAGGGGCTGGCTTTCTCAAAAGCTAAGAAAGGTTATAGCGAGCTAAGCCATTTAGCGGCGGAGCAAAAAAAAATATCAAGCATTAGGTAATTTAACACATAATAAACATAGAAGACAAAGACATTACAAATACCAATTACCATTTAACTAGTGATAGATAGTTTAAAGTCTTACTAACACATCAGATCTTCCTCGGGGCAACTTGGCGGACGAGACCTCCCCGGCCTCCCCGTTGGCGGAGACGAGACCGCTCGTTCCCCACGGAGCAGCAAGGGGGGCTCACCGCCTTCGCGCTCTTGGGAGGAGACCCCTCGAGATTTGGCCCCTCCTAACCAGGACTCCGCCGTTTTCACCTCATCGGAGGAATTCCTCAAGCATCGCGAAGAACTCATTCGACTTCGAGATGCTTGGCGGGAATCCAACATTGGCGACCATGGGGTCTGTAGGACGGTGCATCTCCCTGTTGCGGCCACGTCTTCCTCAGCCACCACCGCTGGTGAGGCCCCCGCTCCAGAACTTTCGCATCCCACCCCGCATGTTGATGCTGAGGACCCAGCGAATCTCGTTTCTCGCTGTGATACATGGCGTGTTGCGGGAGGTTCATCCCTTGCTATCAACAAGGGTCCGATTGAGAGTGTTAGGGTGGAAACAGAGGGGAGGGATCGACCAGAGGTTGAGGAAGGTGGTTGAACAATGAAGAGGCGTTCCCGAAGCTCTCACAGAGTCACCGACGGCGTGAACGAACAAAGGGTTTCGGTGTACCCATGGATACGGCATCACGCGCCTTCATACACGAGGCTGCAAAGGATTCCTTTCCATTTGAAACAATTGAGCAGAGATCGATGAAAATCAAATCAATTCCAATTAAATTGCAATGGCCGCACAATGACGGCGGCGCAACCTTGTCAGTGAAGAAGCTCTCGGCGAGAAAAGGAAAAATGGTTTCGATTGCAACTGTGGTGGAGGCGACCAATCAGACTCGATGGTTTCGCTCACCACCTAAGGTTCAGCTGGTTGTTGGTATCCTAGGGTGTACACCCGATGGTGGGACACGCGGCAAGAATCTAGGTAGGGGTAAGCGAGAGGTTGGGGTGACTCTGAGTCGTAGCACCGCATACCCTCTTCTTTGACCTACTCCCCGGATTCAATCCCGATCCAATCCCCTTTGAAACCCACAAACCCTAAGCCCTCTCTGAAATCCTCTCTTGATGGATTGGTCAGCCACCTGTGGCGTGGCAAATCGGTGAGATCTTTCGCTGCCGCCGTGAGAGCCGAGCCAACTCCCACGGTTCCGGTAAAGATGAACCACGGTGGAGGACACAGGGGCAACTTCGGAGCAGCCCGTGATGGATTTGGGGCTGGACGCCAGGGGAGAGGGAGCGGCCGCACTCAGGGCTGCAATCTCACCTGGGAGCGTACCATCAAGGAAGTTCCTGCTCGCGAAGAAGCCAGGCCGGAAGATGGGAAGAATCAAGCTACTGAGAATGAAAAGTGGGAAGGGCAGAAGGACCCGAAGAACATGAAGGAAGAACCATGGGGGAACAAGGGCGTCAAGGATGTTGCTGAATCCTCCCAAGGTAACAAGGCTCGCCAAGCTCTTGAGGATCATCCTGATCCCCAACATAGTCAGATCAAAATTCCTTATGCTATTTGTGGTCTATTCAACCATGTCACCCAAGATTGTAGAAGGCTTAACTGTGAGATCTGTGGGGTGAATGGTCATATGGCTTACGATTGCAAGAGATGCATTCCTTGGAATTGTGGTCCGGAATTGTGTGCAACCCAAGTTGAAGACCAAAGCTTCTTTTACATAGAAGAAAACATTGATCCTAGGATGGCTAAAGAGAAGGAATGTACTGCTATCATCTCTGTACTATCTGGGAATGCTTCTGGCAAGGATATTGAGAAAGAGTTTGCAAACCATATTGGATCTAGCACTTGGAGGTGGGCAGCGAGATCTATTGATGACAACAAATACATGATGAGGTTTCTCAATGCTAAAGCTATCAGGGATTGGAGCCATTTTCCAATGCTGGCTATGAGATATGTGAACGCTCAAATCAAGGTGGAAGCGTACACATCAAGCTTTGGAGCCAAGGCCACACTACAGCAGGCGTGGTTCAGGATCTGGGATATCCCAACAAATCAGAGATCCATTAGGACCGTTGCAAAGGTTGGTGGATTGGTTGGCAAGGTGCTTGAGATCGATGAGAAAACAAGATTTAGGCATGACTATGTAAGGGCAAGAATTGCTTGTAGAGATATCACTAAGGTTCCAAGGACTGCTGAGAGTTCTCTGGGACTAGCAGTGCATGATTTTCATTTTGAAAGGGAGGTGGAAGTTGAAGGCCCTGAGAAAACTCTTAAGAGTGGAATTGAGATAACTGAAGGTGGCTATCCCCCTCCCCCCAAGAAATTCAAAGCGGCTGAGGCTATCAACAAAGAATCTGGCCAAACCAGTGCGAAAACCATGACACTTGGAAAGGGTACAGCTGAAGAGAAAAGATAGAGTAATAATGTTACTATGTCTGCACCACCAAAAATTGGTGGGAAATCTGGAACTGGGGGAAATCTAGTCATATAGACAACTGTGGGGGATGATCTTGGTGGTAAAGTGCATATTCCACACTCATTTGAGAACTCTGATTTTGACAGTGAAACTCTTAGTGACCGAATCAGAAAGATTGATGGCTACGGGGATCTTGGACAAGGCTATTCCAAACAAGGCAAGGGTGAAGACTCTCACCAGATCTGGTGTATGGATAATACATTAATACTGCTATTAGTGAGAGCATCAAACAGTATCACTGCAACAAAGAAGACTTGGAGACTTCTATTCCTGCTCTTCTGGATCAAAACAAGGATGTTTCTGCTCCTAGTCAGCAAGTGGTTATCCCTGCTCCTACTGAAGTAGAAATCTCTGAAGATGCTATAGTGAATACTCAAGAGAGTGTGATATCTGGGAAGGATACTGTGGAACAAGATGGACAGCTCAAGAATCTCTCGCAGAATGAAGACGATGCAAAGCCCAAAATGAAGATGCAAGGCGAAATCAGGAGGAGTGAACGCCTCAAGAATGACATCGCGGTTACAACCAAGGAGAAAAATGAGAGGATGGCCAAGAAGAGAAACTTAGAAGGTAACCCCCTTGCTACCAACATGTTTTCTGATCTTCCTGTGGAATCTATCAAATGTCTTTCTGCTGATATGGGTATTGCAGTAGATAATATTAATTTTGGCACTTTCAATTTGCTTAAGGACCTTGAGATTGCTAGACACAATCTTCATATTAAACATACTAAACCTGTTGTTAATGAACAAGATGAAGAGGTTTTAGAGGATAATGACCTACATGAGAGACTGATTGAATGATTGCAGGACGAACCCTCTGAGACAGAGTGATATCCTTGCACACTCCAAAAAATCAGGGAAATTATCCAAAAAGAAACTAAAGATTTCTCCAAAAATAGTAAAAAAGAAACTAGTTCAGGGAGATCCTGGCTTGGATAAGAGGGGAGATGGAGGTAAAGTTGGCCTTCACTCCTCCAAACAGAAAAAGAAAAAAGTTAAAAAATGACATTACAAGCTCTAGTATGGAACTGTAGAGGCCTCAGGAAAAGGGGGGTCTCTACATTTCTTAAAAATCTCATTTTCCAATATCAGTTTGATTTCATTGGTTAGCAAGAAACTATGGTAGTTGACTGTGATAATTCTCTGTTCAGAAAGTTTGACAGCCTCCAGCAATATCTCTGGGAATGGATTCCTCCCAGAGGGAAATCTAGAGGGATTCTAGTAGGCATTAAGACGAGAAGATTTGATGTGGGATCTTTTAAAAAGGGTGATTATATTCTACAAATGAATCTTTGGGACAAAGAAATTAGAATGAAGTGGAATTTGATGATTGTTTATGGTGCTGCCCAAGAAGAACACAAAATAGACTTCTTGACTGAACTTTCTAGATTCTGTGATGCTAGCTCAGAGCCTTATTTGGGGGAGGTGACTTCAACATAATAAGGTATATTAAGGAAAAAAGCTCCAATCGGGGGGGCCACAAACATTCTAGAGTGTTCAACTCCATCATTCATTTTTTCGAGCTGAGGGAGTTAATTATGAGTGGGGGGTTGTTCACTTGGACCAACAATCAAGATCCTCCCATCCCGGAGAAATTGGATAGAATTCTCGTCTCTAAGGACTGGGGGGATTTCTTCCCTCATGCTATGGTTAAAAAACTTCCTAGAGAAATTTCCGATCACAATCCACTGGTTATTACTTGTGGAACACCAAAGAATCTTCCTCACATTCAGTTTAAATTCGATCTCAATTGGCTTAGTTAT